CTAACCTGGTGAGCTTTCTAACAATTACCTTTTGTTATTGATTTTTATTCTAATTTCACTATGGTCAGAGACTGCATTCTGGATATTTTCAAACTTTTGAAATGGATTAAGTCTTGCTGTGTGACTCAGAATATGGCCAATATTTTATCACACTTAAGAAGAAAATGCTTTTAGAACTTATTTGGTATGATGTTCCAAATAGACCAATTAGGTTGAATTTTTGAATTTTGTCATCAGATTTTCTGTGACCTTATTTTGTTTTCTTTTAATATAGCTACTGAGAGACATATGCTAATGTCGTGCACTATGTTTACAAATTTATCTATTTAGTTAAGTCAATTTTTTTGTTTTATAGATTTTAAGCTATGTTATTGAGGGCATACCCATATATAATTGTATGATCTACCTCACTGATAGACTCCTCTGACATTATAAATGATCTCTCTTTATAATAAGTAATGCCCCTTGCATTGAAGGATACAATATTTTAAGTTACTATGGTTATGCCAGATTTTCTTTTGGTGTTGCCTTCCTTTTTCCCTCCTTTTACTTTTAACTTTTCATGTCCCCACATTTAAAGAATGCCTCTTGTTAATAACATATGTTGGATTTGTTTCCCAACTTGGCATTTTTTCAGTCTATTTATATGTAATATGACTACTAATATATTTATTGGGTAAAAAATTTCCATGAGTCTCATGTTTCTATATGTCCTGAAATCAGAAGCATTGCTGATCATCAGATTGCTCTTGGTTCTGAACTACATTTTCAAGGATATTTATATAGCGAACAGCCTTGGATAATAGAGATAGTATGCTCTTTGATAGTGTAGTCAATGGCTCTAATTTGGGTATTATATCTTCATTAGCAAGGGTAACTGATAAAGCCACCCCAAAATACAGAAGACTGCTCATCATCATTTGTAAGTTTGTTTACAATTTTGAAAGATGGAGATAATGTCCCTTCTAGGACAAAGAGAAGATATGCTTGATATCAAGTATAACAATGTCTCCCTCTGGAGCAAAAGATAGGCATAATTACTACCCATTATAAAAGATTTGGGTTCCCTAAGGTCAAGTTTCCTTTCCTGTAATGCAGTTTACAGTTTGTGCAGATGATGCTTCTTCAGCATCATCCTGTGGAAACTGGGGCTCAAGAAGTGGCAGAAACACACACACATGCACACACACACACGATATGCTAGCTACTGTTATTGCTGTGAGTCATACACTTTCCTTCATCTCTGGTCAAAGAGTTTTGTGTCTTCTTCCAGCACCCATGAAACTAAGTGAACTTAACTGGTTATTAATAGCTTGCAAATAGGGTTAAATTCAAACCCATCACAGACCTTAGCACTTTTGTCAATAAAGATGGGATGCTGACAGAGATATGGCTTTTTGTAGCTACAAGCTGCAGTGGATTTAAAGACAGCTACACAGAAGGTGCCATAGTTCTTATTAACTCTCCTCTAAATAAAGGCACTTTCTTGCCAATCTGCCCACCAGACTCAGGTCTTCTCCACTGTAACAACTATTACTAAGATTCATCCTGGTTAGACAGAAGAGTCTTCCTGCTTTCATACAACAGTTACAGAGATGTGCAACTATGCTGAGGGTAAAAGGAGGAAAATTTATAACCACTATGGCAGAGACCAGGGGAATCATCAGAACTTCAGCTGATTTGCTTGGGACATGAGGGAATGGAATGCATAATTGCTTATTTAAATGAAAAAGTAATTGCTGGGCTGACGTTCAGCTCCTCTGGCAGTCCACCATGTCAACCTTAGGTCCATTCTAAGACCACAATAAAAGACCTCAGAGTTTTTCTGCAGTGTGTCCTGAATGCTGTCAGGTAGCTGTGCTGTGACCCTCTTAGGAAGATTTTTCCTAAGACAGAAAAATTCCACTGTAAAACCACAGATGAGTCATTGAATAGAATTTGGACTCTCCCTTCCCCCAAAAAGAATGTAAAGTGATCTTATGGGTGGTATTAATAATTTAGGCAATTTAAATATATTTTCATTTGTGGCTTCAGTACACTGACGTGTATTCATTGAAGCTGTGGCTTCAATTTCTAAATGTATAATTGGTATTTATATTTTATAAGCTTCCACTGTGAATGCTGCTAAACTCCTAAAGTGATAGTGGAACACATAAGTTGCTACCCAAAATGTCACCCTATCTCCTCTCGTAGTGTCTAACAGAAACAACATAAAATCCCAGGAGAAGAAAAGAAAGTCCCACCTTTGAGTATAGACTTAAAGGCAGCAGGGGTAGTAAGGGATGAAATATCTCAACTGAACAGCCCCTAAGGCCAGTGTAAAAGGTTATCAGGAGCTGGAGGTTTACCGTGGATTAAACACCACTGAATTCAGTTGTCACTCCTATAGTCCTGGCTGATCCAGATGTTGTAAGGCAAACAAATCTACTACATAGATTGATGGCACTTCATGTAACTATCTTGGGCATTTCCAAAACCTTCTTTTGTATCCTATTGTCACCCAAAGACAAAGACAAATTCTCATTTATGCTGCAAGGCCATAAGTATATATTTGCAGTATTCTCTTGTGAGTTACTGAACTCCCTTGCCATTCATTACTAAGAGGGTGGGTAAGGATTTAGTGTGAGTACCCTCTGATAAGCAAATCTTTCACTAATAGATGATATTCAGCTGACTAGAGAATCAGAAGCCTCAGACTCAATGGCTCTGACTTTAGTATTATCACAACTTCACCAGCAAGGGTAACTGATAAAGTCCAACAAAATTCAGGAGACTGCTCATCAATTATGCAGGGGACTATGTAGACAGATTCACAATGCTCAATCACTCTGGAAGTCAAGGAAAAAATGTCTCCCTTTTCTCCAACCAAAAGACAGTCTAGTGTCATTTTGGACTTTGGATATTAGAGACATTAGATGTCATACTTTAGTATTCTACTTGGGCTTTTATATCAGCTGACTGACAGTGATCGTAAGGCATAAACCTACATTAAAGCTAATCACCAAGCTGTGGCACACCATCTACTTTGAGGTACTACAAACGTAATGACCCCTTTGAGCTACATACAAATCTCCATGACTGATAATTTTCTGGAAAAAGGAGGCAGCATCCCCTTGGAGGCACCATTTGGAATATGGGATTCATTGACTTTCTAAAATAGCTACCATTTGAAAAACAGCTATTAGCTTACTACTGGCCACTTGTCAAAGCCAAAGCCCTGACTTACAGAAACCTTGTAACTCTGTGAACTGATGTCCTCATTTTGAGATGGACTAAATAAATCAGACTTACAGCTATTTGGCAAGCGTTACTTGTCAAATGGAAATGATATATTCCAGAAGATAGGGTTACTCATAATTGATCATTAACTGTTTTTAAAAAGACCACCAGTAGATAATATAGCCTTCAGAACACTGGAGATTTTTCTAAAATGAAGTTACTCCTGGCTATTTTAGGGAAGCTTTGTGGAAGGATTAGTAATACGCAGCCTCAGGGTAGTTTTCTCTACAACCAGCGTAAGCCAACTAGAAAAAGTGGTACAAAATTTTTGTCCCTGACTTTAGTTGAAATAATCAGTGACACCACTTCATCTCTCAAAAGCACCTGGTCAGCCTCACTCACTGATCAACATTGTTATGGATGACAGAATTGCCCCAGATTTCATCCTTGGAGGCCAAGGTTGAATCTCAAACTGCTAATACATTCTGCTATACTTGGATTTTCATCTCAGGCTAAGCGGAAACTCAGCACAGAAACTTAAGAAAAAAGCCATCTGAGTTTTAAAGACAGACCCTGATTTTAACCATTAGCTGACTGGGTCCAGGACCTTGAGGGTATGGTTGGAGTCAACGCTGCAAGTGGTGTCTTCAAGTTGTTTGAATTCTGTTGACATTGACCTTAATTAAATGCTACAAGAAACAAATTGGATGGATTTAGTTCCCAATCTCTGTTAGATTAAACAGAGTGGCCAAAAGCATGTTGTGCTCATGAAAAAATTTGTCATTATGGTCCTGGAAACTGATCTGTGTCATGTTTTGGCTTTCTGGACAATTGGCAGTCTTATAATCATGTGCCTTCTATCTAAAAATCTACTCAATCATAGGCTGATAGTCAAGTTTTCTGCACATCTTAACATTTGTTTTCCTTGTTTGGTGCCCTTGTTTTATATTTCTTCTTTCTTTCTTTCTTTGATTAATCAACTCTTTCATATTAATATACTTTTTTACTCTTCTTTTATTGGTTACCCTTAAAAGTTACAGGATGCATCCTTGATCTTTTACAGCGTAAGATAAGTGATTGTATTTACCACTTTCCCATTAATGGCAGAACTTTAAAATTTAATTGCATTTACAACCTTTTTTGTAGTCAATTCTCAATATCTAGGAAAATCAAAGAAGTACACAATAGCAATTCCCCTTCAATATCTAAATCTAGATAAACTTTTACAAATGTACACAAGAAGATATCAACAAGGCTATTCATTACTGCATTGTTTGGAAAAATGAAAAAGTTGGAGCAACTTCATATTCATTAATAAGATGATATATTAATAAAATGGAATCTCATAGTAATTAAAATGCATTAAATAGATATAGATCAACATGAATCTGAAGAACATAATTTCTGATGACAAAAGAAGTAGCGTAAGAGTACATACAAAATGATACATAAATTTTAGATATAGATTGTATATAGACAAGCACATAAGCTGTAAAGATGTAGAAACATGTATGGGAAGGATACACTCTAACTTCAGAAGAATGGTTACCCGTGAAAGGAACAAAAAGAAAAGGGATGGTGAGTGATATGGAAGTCCTTACAAGGCTTTATGTGTTAAAAATATTGATGCAATGATGCCAAAATGTTCATATTTTTAAAATTTGAGCAAATTGCACAAATTATATTCAAGTATATTATTCCTTATATTTTGTGTTTATGTGAAATATTTCATAAAATTTATCCAAAATTTTTGAAACGGCACAATGAGAAAGATAGTCTACCTGAAATTATAGTTGCGGAACGGGATAATAATATGAACTGATTTTCTATATATATAGGCAAAAATTCAGAAGCTCCAATCATAACTAAACTTTCTGTAGCTTTAGACAGAGCTAGGCCCCAAAATACTGGATTCTTCATCACATTCTGAAATAGAAATAAATTACATATCAATTCTTTTAGTTGACTAGGTGAAGAGGAATATATATGCCCATTCAAATGTTAATGTTCACCCTACAAAACTTTGCCTTTCCCAATCTAAACTGAAAATTTATAGGTAGATATCAAACAGAAATCTACAATTCACGAATACACACATTCCATAAAAGACAGGTAGTGTTTGACCATTTATATTTTAATTTGATCTCCATGCCACATTTAACTTTTATTTGTGGGCCAAGCATTTTGTTGGAAAGATTAGGGAAAAATGGATAGATCATTAATCAAGTCTCTAGAATATCTCTACTTTTGTTTGCCTGCTTATTTTTTTAGCAAGTCTTTTTCATTTAACTAAAACACAAAATAAAGAAAATTTAAGCAACACTCAAGAAAAATCACTAGGATTATAGTCAAGATTCTATTATATTTTGCTTCTGGAATTCCACCTACACAAAGAATTACGTTATTTAAATTCTGCATTAAATTTGTTGAGCTTATTCAGAAGTCTTATTAAGATGTGATAGTTTACCATTATCTATTATACTATTATACTATACAGAGTAATTAACAAGACAGTAAGTTAAAGTAGTAAATTTCAAACTAATTTCTGTATTTTCTTGGTTATGTATTTGTCTTTGAAAGTATTTAGTATTGTTTTATGTTTATATATTTTTCATTACTTTAAACTTTCTTTTTTTCACCCTAAATACCCCTGGCTAGATATAATCATATTCTTCACAGTCATCTAATTCAGCTTCTGTGTGTTATCTAATCTTACATAGTGTGATTCCATCATATTTATTCATTTCCATAGGCTTAAATACTTAGCTTACCTTTAACTCCCTACTATCAAAAACAAGGCTACATGAAACATCCCTGTGCAAGTACCCTTTAGGTCCTGTGTTAAGCGTGTCTTTGGAAGTTCTAGAAAGGGATTGCTAGGGCATTGAGATTTAGCAACTTTATTCTTCTATTTCTCCAGGTTGTTCTCCAGAATGTACCAGTTTGTACTACCATCAAAACGTAGCACACTTCCATGTCCTTCATGTAGCAGCTTGTACTTTCTAAAATTCATCAAGAGCACTATTTCCGGTCCAGCATGCTCTTCCAAAACTATGCCATTCCCCCGTCAAAAGTCATTAAACTTGGAAAGACCTTATGACTGCTTCAACAAAGCAAGTAATGCTGCAGACTGTCTGAGTTAGGTCATACATAAAACGATGATACGGCTTATGCTGGGATCTCTTACTGCCTTAGAACTCTTGCCTTGTAACTCAGTCACCATGTTGTGAAAAAGACCAGGCCAGATGGAGAGGCCTCTGTGTGGGTGTTCTAGGAAACAGCCACTCAAAAGCTAATATTTGCATAAACGAGCCTTCAGATGATTCCACCCTCCAGACTTTAATTACTCTAGTTGAGGAAAGAAGCAAGTCTTGCTCAAATTGCATTTTCATGAGCAAGATACATTTTCTATTGTTTTAAGCCACTAAGTTATGAGATGGTTTATCATGCAGCGATAGATAACTAGTACACCCCATGTAATCACAAACACTTGATATCATTAGCTGGTTTCCAAAATTTTGTCCTGCTTACAAATATAACGTAGTGCCACAATGCTTTATTTCATATTTCTCTAATTTCAAACGTAACTGAGCATATTTTCAGATAATTCTTAACTATCTGGGATTCTTCTGTGTATGCATAAACTACCTATTCATATTTTTATTAGAGTTCCTGAAATCTTAGTATAGATTTTCCAAGAATTTTTGTTATTCATTAATTGCTTGGATTTAGATATATGCCACCCATCTATTAATATTATTTATAGTTTTCTTCATAGAACAGAAATCCTTGACTTGATATAATCTAATCCATAAAGTTTTACTTCATATTTTACATAATTGCAATCTTGTTTAACATTTTCCCACCTCTACGTCACAAAGATATTTCTTTCATTTTCTAACATTAACTGTGTTGTTTTATTTAATCACATTTTATTAACCTGAAAATCACCTTTGTACATAACATGAGTTAAAGAGCCAACTTCATTTTTCACAAATAATAACCAAATTTTCCATCACAACTACTAAACAATTATCCTTGAAGTGCCTCTTTTATCATATAGCAAATTCCTATATATCATTGGTTACTGAGTTCTCTATTCTGTTACACTGGTCTATTTACTTGTAATGAGGAAATGCTGCAATGTTTTTTATTACTATGGCTTTTGTAACATGTTTTAATGTGTACTAGACCCAGTGCTCTGCATTTTAGCTATTCACGCCCTTATTCTGACATACAAATTTTAGAATCAATTTGTTACTTAAAAAATTAAAATTCTTGCCATAGTATTGATTATACTTGCATTAAATTCATGGATTACTTGAGAAAAAAATCACATAGGTGAAGATTGTCATTTCATCCATTAACATGATGTATCTTTCAATTTATTCCAGTCTTCTTAATACTGTTGCATAGAGTTTTAAATTTTTTCATGACAATTTTAAACATCTCTTTTAAATGAATTCCTGAAGTATTTATAGTTTTGTGGTATCTTTTTATTTTATTATCTGATTTTAAATTTAGATAATACTTCTGGAATATTCTTATTTATTCTAATAGTTTAGTTATTTTATTTTTTGTTTAATCTTTGTTAATTTTATAATTATTTTATGTTATACATTCACTAATTTTCAATTAACAGATTATAGCTCTTTTATAGGTCCTAATATTGTAAATATTAATTTACTCATTTACTTAAAAAGTAATTATTGAGAAGTGACTGTTAAGTATAATCCTTACCCTAATAAAATTATAGTCATATCCATGATTTTATAAGAAAATATCAGTCTTTACTAGCTGCAACAGGCAGAAGAGACAGAAAAATCTAGTTTAAATCTTGGTTTTACAACTTATTTTTGGAGCAATAATAAAAAAGTCACAATTTATTCATATCTCATTTTTAGAAAGTATTATATTAGATAGATCAATAGATTTAGAGTTAGATACAACAAATATTCTTATACTTTTAACCTCAATTGAGCCACCTGTATGTATGCATGTGTGTGTGTATGTAGCATATGTGTCTTTGAAAAAGTTACTCATTCTCTTTAAATTACTAGTTCATCATCTGTAAAACAGAAGCTATAACATCTATATTTCTTGGTGGTTATGAGGATTGAATATATGTAAAGGTTTAATACAATTTCTGTCACATAGTAGATGTCCAGTAGAGAATATACATTAGTTCAATAATTTCTAAGATGAGAAAATTGTACTATATTTCTAGATTTTTTGTTTGTAAACTTTAGTGTACCTTGAATCATCTGCACGATGTGAAACATAGGTTGTAGGTCCTGCTTCCCCAGATTTTGATTCAGTAGGTCTCAAGTAGTGCCTAGCATTTGCATTTTCTAACAAATTCTCAAGTGATACTGATGCTGTTGGTCTGGGAACCACACTGAGAACTACTGCACTAGAAAATTTTCATGTTTAGTCTCTTTCAGATTAAAACAGACTCATTAGTTAATTCAGTTGATGCAATTTATCATAATGTTACACAGGAAAGTAAGAAAGCCAAAACACTTTCTTAGTAGCTAAACAATTTAGCAGTCACAGAGAAATGGAACATCATTCAGAATATCTTGTTCACTCAATGGTGGAAGTTCCATTGCTTTGTCTTGATTGCTTCAGGGGTGTAGATATTCAACTTCTTTGTGCCAGCTTATTGCATGTTCATTTACTTTTATTTTAGCTACTGACTATTTTCTATACATTTACTTCTCTTTCTCAATGGCCTTTGCTCTTTCATTTTGGCTATGTCAATTCATCAAAGCTGTGTTGAGTCTGCCACTCTTTATCCACTCCCAAGAAAGAGGAATTGACTAAATTAGTCACTGAATAGCAAGGTGTCCCTACTGGCCATTTTTCTCAAGCTAGGATACCACTAGGTTTAGGGGAAATCTAAAGATTGTTCTCTTGGGCTTTAAGTGCTGATCCCAGAAGGTAGTTTTGGTAAGCACATGTGGATTACATCATACTGAGCATGGCAACTAGTGTGCAAGGGAACAATTCAGGACTTGACTGGATTCTGTAGTTTTAGCTTTCCCTATGTCTAAGTTGTATAATCAGGAAGCTTCTCCTGCTATTACTAAGAGCTATATATTCCCCTGTTCAAGGTACTAGTTTTCTTGTTTACATTCCTCTATAATATAATGTAGACTCATAACCTTTGACACATTCTTCTTGAGTCTGATTAATTCAAGTATCCTTTTCATCAGGTTTGGCTTCCAGTTTATCTAAATGGGCTTCCCATAAGGAGAAATAATCACACTGCAGGAGGTTTTTCTCTACCCTTTGGTAACGGTTATCAAATATAACTTGTTATATTTCATTATTTTTATTTTATTATTTATTTAATAATATTATTTTATTACTGATTTATTTTATTATTTTATTAAGATAATTTCTATATAGTCTATATTAGGTTTTTGAGTACTTAAAAACTGAGCTTTAAAAGAGTTAAGATGTCTCCATCTATGTGGCTTTCTAATTTCCTTTTAAAGTTTTTGCTTATCATTCTGGTTAAATGAATGACTATTATTTTATAGTGACTTATGATTCCATTTTGATCAAATGTTTTGAGCCTTTTAGTATCTTTAAGAAACTTTCCCCAAATCAAATCCTAAATTAAGTATTTTTGACCTTGAATTGACTTTGAAATTTTTGAGTTGGGCCCCTAGAATGCCTCAAAGGATATATCTCTCATCTTACAGAGAATTTAAATGATTAGGCTGATTTGATAAATTACACAAGAAACATTTTCAAATAATAAATGATACTATAGCTTCTTTTAGTTGCCTTTTATGGATATGTTGTCAATATAAATGTTTCAAAAATTATATAAATTCTTAGAAAATCTAATATGTTATTAGTTGTAATTCTGGTTATTATCTTAAAGTGCTATATAATAGAAATCAGCAAATTTCCTTATCAATTGTAAACTTTCATCAGATTTTTAACCATGGCTAGTGGTCAATCTATGCACCTGACTGAAAAAATGCTTTCCTCTGCTCAGTTATAGGGAGAATTTCTAACTCACTATCAAGCACTTATTAATGCTCTAAAAACCACCACAAGGTCATGAAATCCTTTTATAGTGCCCAATCTGGGTAGTGGCTCCTGCATCCACATATCCCACGAGAAAAAGACATGTGCAGAAGTCTGAACTTCCACCCTGATATCTGACACTGAGCTCAAGTTGACTAAAGCCTCAAGGCCAAGATGAAAAGATGCCAACAGCTGAGGTGGACTGCATCCCCTTAGACTCCGGACCAGGCCTGTATCCAGATGAATGCTTATACTTACCTTATAGTGCTTATTATACTAATTGGCTTTAGGAGTCTTCATAATTATTACTATTCTATGTAAAACAGGGTACTTACTTTCACCTTGTTTATTTTAAACTAATATGCCTGGCCTTTATATACACTTTATCATTGTTTTATTTATTACAATTTTAGGAATCTTGTGTATACCAGACAGCTTATGTCAAGGTAAGGTGATTGCATGTATTCCTATATTTAGACATCTGTAAACCTCCCTTATCTACCCCTATTCGAGCCAGTTTTCTACCATTGTCTTAAAACTTTCTCTTTAAAACATGTGACCCTCAATCCAAAAGACAGTGTCACTTCTCATCAGCCAGGTACTTTACTACCTTAAAGAAAACCCCCAAAGTTTAGTTAGTAACCCTCAGGAGTTCAAGGTTTCTCCATTGGCTCAATTTCTTACATAATTAAGAAGGCCACCCTCTCTCCATTTTTCACGATCACAACTATATTGACCTTTTTTCATTCTTAGTCAAGCCCTTGCAGGTTTGGAAAGTTAATTCACTAATTAAGCTCTCCCAAAGTATGGCAGATGGAGATAATCTCTCAGAATATTGGATTTGTCACCAAATTCCAAGGACCATCTAAGATCATTATATACCACTCATTGTACCAGGGATCAATTTCTCTGACACACCAAATGTTACCACATATATACATCTGCCCCCTCTGAATGTTACTTTTCATGTTCACCACCTAAAGTGAGATCCTGCTTCTATCCCCTGCTTAACAATGTCACCCCCACTACGTCTGTCTATCCCTAAACAAGTCACAGATGAATTTTTCTAACTTAGACAAAAACACATTTCAGTTCTCACCTTTTCCAAATCCTCATCCTCTCAGATTCCCAGCCTCCCACCCTCACTGCTATCTCTGGTGACTGACTGTCCTTAAACAGAAAAACCAAAGCAAATTATGCCAGCGACTCCCATTTGTTAAATACGATGTCTCCATGGGTTTCTGGAAATCCTAGCATAAAATTGATACATTGCTCACTGGCATTTGGAACACCTTACCCATAAATCAACAGCTTAAATAGACACACCCTTGGGGGTATAACTTGTGCCCCTAGGGGACACATTTTTGTGTGTGGCATTGGGTCTAACCCACCAACCCACAATTGGGCACAAAGATGTATAAAATAGCTAACAAATCGAAGGGCTTTGCCTTCTTGGTCATTATGTTGCCCCTTTCTCTATTCACCTCAATTATAAAAATGATCCCACTTTTCACTTCCATAAGACCAAAAGAGAGTTACCAAGAGGCTATCAAGACAACTGGTGGCAGAACCTCTTAGGTATAGTTGTTCTGAGGTATGGACAATACACTAACAGAGATAAGAAATTTGTTAGCCACAATAGGTCAAATTGCTGAAAACACCACAAAAAGCATCATACCCCAAGAAAAGTCCCTAAACTCCCTGGATCAAGTAGTATCAGATAACAGAATTGCATTAGACTTCTTCCTTGCCAAACAAGGGGAGTCTGCACAATAGCCCAGAACAGTTGTTGTACTTATGTCAACACCTCAAGAGAAGTAGAGACCCATGTAGACAAGATTATCCAATAGGCCAAATGGTTACAAGAAGTACAAACTACTGATCCTCCCAATGACCTATTTAGTTACCTTCCCATGGAGCTAGGAAATTTCCTCCCATCTTACTCTTCTCAAAGCTTTGTCATAATCATTGTCTCTATTTAACTTCTCTTACTGTCAGTGAAGATACTTATGATATGCATGACCAATTGCTGTAAGTCTGCTATTAAAACCAAAGTCATAGTAGCATGACTTACAGAGATGATAGATAAGATGAACCTGTCGTAATTCCATGTTAGCTAAAAATAAATGTTACTCGAAAGCTTTATAAGCTACACCAATTCTCTACCTGTTTACCTGAGCTAACGAATGCCAGTCTACATTTTCCCTTGCGTGGCCTGATTTACTCAATTGGCTATAAGCCTCCATGCCACATGAGTCCCACTGGGGGACTTGATGGACCCAGGGCAGGTAAGGATACCACCTATATGGATTATGACATAAATTGGTTATCAGTGCTGTTTATAGCAGGTTTTAACCAAAAGGCGATATGTTAAAATATACTCCCAGCTGACAGACAAAACTGACTCGCTGTGTCAAAAATGAGGCATATCAGAAATGGAATCAGGTGGCCATAGCAGGGAGTGGGGGTTGGTTACATTACTAACTGCCATAAAGTCTTCTTTCCTGTAACTGAGCCAAAACTGGCCCTTAAAAAACTGCCAAAACAGCTACAACTGGGAGTTTCCCAACTAACCCCAGTAGATCACCCAACACATGCTGACCGGACCCCTTGCCCCACCTCCTGCATGTGGTCCAACTGGACAGCAGACAGACCTTGCAAACATTCTTTCCTGATAAAACAGCCACAGACCTCAAGCCAGTTTCAGCTGGTTACAGAGATTGCACAAAAGATTCTTTATACCCTACAGTTCACCTTTTGACAGAAAAACCAAATTCCACCTCATTTTAATGTTAAAACTCCACCCTAAAATGGACATAGAATGTATGTTACATATATGTTTTCCCACGGGTCATGGGCTTCCCTCATAAATATTCATATATTTTCCCAAACTGGCTAAATATGCATGTAAGGCAGACCCTAAAAGATATAAATGTCGGCTTTCCACCTCCTCTCTTCAGAGCATGTGTTTTTTGGTTTCTCCAGAGGCTACATTCCCTGATCTGTAGATTATCTCTCTAAAAATAAAGTTTTCTCCTTTTCCTTCCTCCATAGATCTCATGGTCATTTCTTAACAATGACTTAATAAAAAGATAAACACTTAGTGAATAGAAATAAGTAAAAACAAATTCTGATTTTATACAACATATCCATTCATTTTAGGAAGAATTAAACTAATATAATAAAAAGCATCCATATATTAATATATTATATTATATTAATCAAAGATCTATCAAAGCATTATGGAGAGAGAAACTCATTTTGCCTAGGAACATAAGATTTGATTTGACAAAAAGTTCTACTAAGTAATTTGGAAAATAACTTGAAAAAAACCTATATATGAGAAATACAATCTATAAGCAACATTATTTTTTTTTAACTTCCCAATGTCTGTTTTGTAGACCTTGTTTCTCACCTAGAGAAACAAAGATTTCTCCATTTTATATTGAGATAAGATATTTTCTATGTAATGGAAATGCTTGTGGGAATATTGGTTAACTTCTAGAGTTCTCTTCTAAGTCATTTAAACATACTAAAAAGATAATATTGATACCTACATGTCATCTCATTAAATGCCTTATTTATTTCTGCAGAAGGAAAAATAAATCCAAAATAATGCAAACGTAAAATTAAAAGAAAAGAAAAAAATAGCTGGTACCAGTCTCTGACATTAGCCAAGTTCTGGGCTATGCCACTTAGGTAGGATAGGTCCTATTTTTCATTATCTATAAAATGAATAGGTTAATTAAAAGACTTCAAAAGTCCTGCTAAGATTTAAGTTGAACATTTCATGCTTATTTTCTTAAGTTCACTATTAGAAAATTGCACAGGTTGACTTCATTGGCTTGTTCATATAATATTTTACTTTACCCAAAGAGCAGAAGGCAAACTCAGGACAGTTTTGTGTTCTGTATCTTTAAGTGTGCTGTAAAGGAATTGAGGTTGTTTCTGTTTCTCAGCCTTTATCTCTTCTGTACCTATATGTTAACGAGTAAAAGAATTTTATGACATACTCAAATAACTAAAACACATATATAAAACATACTTACACATCCTAATAAACTCAGCTAGTCCTGGAATGGCAAGTGAGCTATTTCTGAACAAGCTAAACTCAATCTGATTAATTAAAAAATACATTCAAAGACAGCATTCAAAATACATTCAAAGACAGCATTCAAAGAGTGCTGTCTTAAAGAATATTATGTGATAATGAAAATTTTCCATATCTGTACTTTTGAATGCTGTAGCATTAGCCACATGTGACTATTAAACACTTGAAATGTAGCTCCTATGACTGATTATACAAATTTTCAATTTAATTTAATTTAACAATTAAATAGCCATATTTGGCAAGTGGCTACCATATTTGCCGTAAAGTATGAAAGAATAATCTTTAATGTTACTAAAAAATATTTTGTGCCAATGAAATGTACTATAATTAGGAGAGCATTAGGTTTCTCTGACATTATATGTATTTTTTGGTGTTTCCAAAAGAATTTTAATCATTATTTTATCTTATAACAATTCTATGAGGTAATACATACATTAAATAATGCTAGGTAAGTAGATTTAAATATGCTTCATTATTTAAGACAACTTATGAACTCTAGCTATAAATCATTTAATTTTTTTCAGAATTTATTTTTTTATTTCAGGATATTATTTGGTTAAATGTAATGCATTCACCTCGCCCAAGCCAGGGCTACAAGCATGCCCTTCCCCCATACAGTGTGCTCAGCCTCCATTAGTTGTGAATTTACCCATCCTCCCCCCCACCTGACTGGCACCCAGTGAATATTACCACCCTGTGAGCACCTTAGCGTTGATCTGTTAGTACCAATTTGATGGTGAGTACATGTGGTGCTTTTTTTTCCATTCTTGTGATACTTCGAAGGACGGGCTCAAGCTCTATCCAGGATAACATAACAGGTGCTAGATCACCATTGTTTTTTGTAGTTGAGTAGCATTCCATGGTACACATATACCACATTTTATTAATCCACTCATGTATTGATGGGCACTTGGGTTATTTCTACATCTTTGCAATTGCGAATTGTGCTGCCATAAACATTCGAGTACAGATGTCTTTATTATAAACTATCTTTTTTCCTTTGGGTAGATGCCTAGTAACTTTTTTTATTATTATTTCAATTAGATTTAGGAGGTCCAAGTTGAATTCTGTTACATGTATATATGGCATAGTGGTAGACTTTGGGCTTTTGGTGCACTCATCACCTAAGTTATAAAGTATTTTTAAAATAAAATAGTGAGAAGAGAAAATATGTGCTAATGAAACTCTGGTACAAAATTAAAGTATATTTGGGTGCAAAGCTATTTCATTTGCTCAAATAACAATAGTACATGGGATTGTATCTCTGTTACAGACCACTATGAGAAAAGGCATATTCACAAAGAAATGTGGTATAGCCATTCTCTGAGAATGGGGCCCAGGGTGGGGTAAAACTATTGTCCTTTAATTTAATAAATTATATTTTTATAGTCACCTGATATACTGTTTGGAAAGCATAACAATGGTATTAATGTAGACCATGCAAGAAGAGCGGCAAAAAGAAAATTACTCCACCAAGACCATATCTGTCGTTGAGTAACAATTCCAATGCTTTAATAGAGAAAAAATAAAAAATATCAACTTTGGGTATTTTATTAAAGTAAAGCCATAAATCAAACAGAAGGAGAGGGAGTAAGGGATGCGGAGAGAGAGAAATAGAATATTTTCTGCTAATGTGTCACTATTGTTTGTTTTGTTCAGAGGGAGTGGTTGTCAATCCTCTAATTTATGTGTTTTTCTTTTGTCTTACAAGATCCTAATGTTTCCTTTTCCTTCTCTTCCCCAGCATCACTCAGGTTACAAAAGGTGCTTATTTGGTGCCTATTCTTCTATTCTTATGATACCTCTCTTTGGGGGATGGGCTTAAGCTCTATCCAGGAAAATATAAGAGGTGCTAGATCACCATCATTTTTTATAATTGAATAGTATTACATTCTATACATATATCATATTTTATTAATCCACTCATGGCTTGATGGGCACTTGGGTTGTTTCCACATCCTTGTTACAGTGAATTGTGCTGCTATAAATATTTGAGTGCAGATGTCTTTATTACAGAATGTTTTTTGTTCCTTTGGGTAGATGCCTAATAGTGGTATTGCTGGATCAAATGGTAGTTCCACTTTTACAAAAAGAAGAATAAAAGGTGCTTGTTTGTTCCTGTTTAACTTTTTTCTCCATCAGAGGTTATGAATTTGAAAGACTATCTCTTTAAATCTTATCTCTCCTTTAAAATCATCCCTGCCCCACTTTACAAAAGCACCTTGACCTTTATGGCAAGCCTGCCCCTTTCCTTTGCACAACTGCAAATATGGCATCTGACCCTTTAAATCATATACACTTTGAAATCCCTTTCTTCTAGTCTCTTCTCTGAACTCCCAGATTTAATGTAAATTTATCCTTTGAGTGATCATTCCAAATCACCCTGAGGACCCTTTGTTAATGTCTCTGTCTTGTCTTCTCTCTCTGCAGTTTTTCTTGATTTGCCTTTGCTCACCACAAAGCCTTATAGTGAACAGTGTGTGGTAGGAATGTGAAGAATACTATGCTGGGATTAGTTAATTTCCCTGTTTGCTCATAGTTATTTTGCAATTTGAGCATTCTTTGTCCTTAATTAATGCTGATTTTGTGGAGAATTTTCATAGTTGTGAAATTATTTTGGGTCATTTAAGGAGATTAAAGAAAGTTGATAACTACACAGTTGCCATTGTCTGCATCTCCACACACATCTAAGACTTTCTCCAATCAGCCATTGTGGGAAAATGCCCACATGCTCAGGAACCACAGTTTTGGAGGCGCTGGATTTTCAGGAGTGATTCTATTGCCGAGCAAGGCCAGGTGAGTAGCTCACTCACAGGCCCTGTCTTTCATGGAACGTAGAGAATGTTCCCAGTGTTATTCACTGATGGGACAGCTTTTTATCCACCGCTACCATTATTCAGGGATACAAATTCCAAATTACATAGTGTTGCAATCTTGATTTCCATTATTCACTTCCATATCCATATTCATATATATCTGAATGTGCTATACTCAGGGAGTTTCAACTTCAGATTGTCACTAGGGCTACATACAAGTATGTCCTCATTGATTACAGTATTCAGATATTTTGTTTTTCTTCACTTTTGAACCCAGCTATATAATCTAACTTTGAATGCTATATTACATATAATGTGATTATTACACATGAGTATATAATTGCATACCTAGAAGAGCTAAAAATTCAACTAAAAAACTATAAAATGTAAGCAAAGACTTTGATAGGTGACTTACATATACAAGACAAATTTAGTAATCAAAATATTTCCCCTGTAGTAGAAACAATCTGATAAAATGGCCAAAGGACTTGAATTGACACTTCTCAAAAGAAGATACATAAATGGCAACAAGCATGTGAAAAGATGCTCAGCATCACTAATCACCAGGCAAATGCAAATCAAAACAACAATAAGATAATATCAATTAGGATGGCCACTATATAAAAAAATGGAAAATAACAAGGATTGGTGAGAATGTGAAGAAATCAGAATACTGCACTGTTGGAAGGAATGTAAAATAGTGCAGCCACTATGGAAAACGGTATGAAAGTTCCTCAAAAAAATTAAATATAAAATTATCATATGATTCAGCAGTCCCATTTCTGAGTGTATATCCCAAAAACTGAAAACAGGATCTCAAGGATATATGAATATTTGCACACCCATGTTCATTAGCATTATTCACAACTGTAAAGAGGTAGAAGCAACTTAAATGTCCATTGAAATTATGGTATATAGACACAAGGGAATATTATTCAGTCTTCAAAAAATAAGGAAATCTTGTTATATGCTACGACATGCATGAAACTTGAAGATATTATGAAATAACCCCATCACAGAAAGACAAATACTACATCATTCCTATTTTATGAGGTGGCTAATGTAGTCAAACTCTCAGAAACAGAAAGTAGAATGATGATTGCTATTTTTGCAAGATGAAAAAGTTTTAGATATCTGTTGCAAAACAATGTGCATATAGTTAACTACTGTACACTTAAAACATTTAAGATGGACATTTTAGATATATTTGTATGTACCTATTTGTGCATATCAGTCAGTCACATTTGCATGTATTTTCTAAAAAACATGGTTATTACAAATTAAATGCATATGTTTATTTATAAGCTATAGTATCTATTCACTAAATATATTAAAAAGGAAAGAAAAGGGCTTACCTTATCTTAGAAATCATTTTCTTGGAGGTCTGAACTAGTGGTGCTCCTAACACATAACCTAAAGCATATCCAAGCGTTGATGAAGCATCTGCAATACCTGTAAAATAAATTCAAGCAACTATATAAGCCTAATTTGTCATAAGATGATAAACATTAATTGACTGAAATCGATTACTTCTGAAAGCTTTTCCGAGTATTCTATATTAGAGATCTCAAACAGAATCAACAGGAGATATATCCAAATATACATATCTCCATATATAGCCATATATCTATCCATACATATATATATCCCTATGTATGTATGTATCTATCTATCTATCTAGAGAGAGAACAGGGAGATCAATGTTAAGGATTTGGTTCATATAGTTTTGAGCCCAACAGGTCCAAATTTGTAGGTCAGGCCATTAGGCTGGAAAATCAAGTAAGAGTTGATGTTGCCGTCTTGAGGCAGAATTGCTTCTTTAGAAAACCTCAGTCTTTGCTCTTAGGACCTTCAACTGATTGGGTGAGGCCCACCCACATTATGGAAGGAATCGGCTTTACTCAAAGTCTACTGATTGTAAATGTTAACCGCATCTTAAAAATAATATCACAGAAACATCTAGACTGGTATTTCACCAAATAACTGGGTGTCATAAGCTAACCAAGCTCACATATAAAATTAACCATTACATATTATGTTATCCAATGCAGACTTAGTGCTTTTTAGGCATGAACCAATAACCTTCATTGCTTGGCAAGTATCTCTTGAAAAGATGATAATTATTAATATATTTTTGTTAAATGAATTCAAAAAATAAATATACAAGTCAGATAATTGAATTATATAATTCATCATACCTTATTTAACCTATTAAAATATATTTAATGTAATATAAATAAGTATATTTATATTTAGCATGAATATAAATTCAATATACCTCATTTCATTTTAATTTTTGGCACTATAGCAAGATAATACTTTAACATCATTACCTTTGCATCTTTCACCTTAGCTACTAGAGTAGCAGAAGATGGCAACACAGTAAGCTGCTCTCTACAGTATATAGATGTGTGTTTTAATTGCTATTCAGTAGAACCAAAAGTAAATCCCACAGATTTGCTGCCACCCTCAACCAACATTAATAAATTAGTGCAATGTTTTTTCTAAAAGCAAACATAAAGATGAATATCATCTATTTTACTTTATTAATGTGACTTGTTTTACCTATGGTGGAAAATAATTATTTTGGTGAAAAATAGTATTAATATTTTAAGTTGCCTTCACAATAAGTATATAAAAACAACTTTACATTTATTTTCAAAAATGATAGTTAGATAACTGAACAAATAAATGACCAGAATATATTGTACAATAAGAAAGTATAGGCTATTCTGATAGGTCTCTAGAATTACTTATGGTAGGATACAGTAGCATAAGGCATTGTAAACAGGGGATACTATGTTACATCCAATTATATATATATATACATATATATACACACACACATATATAAATATACATATATATGTATATATGGTAAGAGTATCATATTAGAAAGTATGTATTTTTTCTATTGGTCTACATATTTTCAGTGATATTCAGGTGACCTGTCTAGAATTCTAAATCTCTAGCAGCTCCTCAGAGTTAGGTAGTTCAATGTGATTTTGAAGTTAAGCATATCAGTTATCATTGATTACAATGTTATCATAAGAGGCCAACAGTTAGTACTTCTATATCAGTTTAGATATACACACCAAAATATAGAAGCTCAATGAAAATTCAAAATAAGTCAATCCTATCAGGGGAGAAAAAACTTGCCTAAATAGATACCAAGTGAGTGTGTCTTAACGCTGTCATCCAGAAGGGTTATTCCAAGAGTATAAAGAGGCATTCCTGCTATTCCTTGCACAGTCTGCCCAATAATGAAGTAAACTAAGTATTTCAATTTGAAAGATAGCATGTTTTCCTGGCAAGTGTCGATAACCTTCGTTGCTTCGCAAATATCTTTTGAAAAGATGATAATTATATTTTTGTTAATTGAATTTAAAAGTTAAACATACAACAAATATGCAATATTATTTATCAAATACTTTACCTTTTACAAGTTATTTCCATCATTATGCTTTTTTCTTTTAGTTAATATTTCATTTATATTGAATGTAGTGGTACTATAATCAATCATCATGTTCTCAGAAAAATGCCATGATAAAAGAAAAGTTGTGGGAATATTGGAAAAGATGCACATATTATAAACCAAAACAAATGTCACACACTTATGTATGCCTACATACATTTACATACCTCTACATTTACACACACATATAACATATATTTCTCTTAAATTTGGCATCCAGATCTCCTGACTTTTGATCTCAGATCTTAATTATCAAAGATTAATTATCCAAGTTTAGCCCTAGGTCCACTTCTTTAGCAATCTTTATATTAATTCTGTGTCACCCTGCTTAACAATTTTCCATTTTAGACCCAATAACTTCCAGATTGTAGGTTCATTAAGATGAAGCATTCTATAGTAAGCATTTCTCTCCATTAGATTTAGTCATATGGCCATGCATGTGATTTCAATTTCCTTCAGGTCACAGTGTATTTCCTATGCTTTTTTAATTTGCATGGTTATAGAACAGTACTAAATAAATGTTTGTGTAAGTGCATTTGTTAGTAGTTTGGTAAATCTAGACAATGCTATTAACTCATATTTATTGTGACCATTTTGGTTGAAATTTAACAAATTCTCTTAAAATATTATTGTGGAAATACTATTAAAGTGTAGATTACAAAATAGTACACAAATGGAAACTTTCAGATGGTTTAGTACCCATATGGAATGATGTTTGGCTCCATATCAAATGAGAGGGGGTCTCTAGAATTGTGATTCAAATGCTGATGGTTCAATTTTATATAGACATATTAAGTTGTTATGATATAAACATCAATGAAGTATTTCCAACACCATGACCCCTCAGTTCCTTGAACTTCTCTTCTCTTATGCACTGTACTTCACCTACCTTAGCTACTCATTTTAAATATCAAAAATAATAACTACAAACCTCCCCTAATTGCAATTTCAAGCATCTACACTCTAACCACCCCTATTTTTCCACCTCACTCCTTCTAGTAACCCAATTTCAACAATCTTTAAAACTCACCAGGATAATGATCCTATAATCCATTGATCCTAATCCTTTCACTATCCCAATGTCCCTTTCATGTCATTACTTCTTTCATTATCATCTAAACACTTTTAATTCCCTTGTTCTCTTTCAGGTCATGCAATCCCTTGCTAAAATTTCAAACCTAGTCAAACTAACTCTTTTTCCCACTCTATACCTATACCTTTAAAGTTGAATGTGGCTGGAGAAAAACACACAACCATGAAAATCCCACTTTGAATTCACGATTAATAAACTCAAGGAAGTCCTTCATGATCCATTTTCTTTTTTTTTTCTTTTATTTATTTATTTATTGTTTTTGAAATCCCATCATTCTTGTTCTCATGTTCCTGATAATCATAAAAAATGTCCCTAGTCTATTTACTCTTCCCTTCTCCTAGAAAATTCAACTTGCTTCGCCCCTCTCATCAAGTCCTGAGCTTTCTATTGACCCATATCTGAAAACAAATATTTTCCCAATAGAATAAACAAATCTTTTAGTGCCCTTTGTCACAATAAAAAAAAATCTCTTTTTTTGGGCTGAAATTTATATGGCCACCCTAAGCAGCAACTGAGATAGGAGATAATATAACAACTAAAAAGTTTTCATTATATTAAATAGCATGAATTACATTAGTGACTTGAAAATAATTCTGTTATGATGTCTAAGATCCAAGGCATATTAAAGTATTATCAAGAAGGAATAGGAGATAAAAATCAAGAAGCATGGGCAATTCTTTCAAAAATTTTGTCTCTTAAAATGAGAAGGTTGTACAAAAAGAGAAAAAGAAGATGCTATTGTTTAATAATGGAAAGAACATGAACACATTTAAGTGTCAATAAGTGGGAACCGATGGAGAAAGAGAATGTGCAGAAAGAGGAGGGAGAAGATCTCCAAACGGGACAAAGTACTCAAGGAGATATGATAGCACGAGATGTTTAGCAGGGAACGTCACTTCCATTTCTTTTAAGTGCTCATGTGAATTTATTTCCACGACAAAACCAATAATTCAGATGAAGTAGTATTAACAGTAACAGAAAAACTCAAGAGCATTAGTGTTAACACATTTCTAATTTTTTAAGAGTAATCCATTCAGAGTGAAAAAAAGTAGATTTATTTGCTGACTTCAAAACTGCCAACCTGTGTTACAATAAACTTATAAGATCTAAAGATGATGCCAGGAATAAGAATCTTGCCATTATGTGTTCTCCTAAACCATAAAATTTGGAAAAGCACTAAAATGATAAAAGAATGAAGTCCAGAAAGGGAATGTGACATCAATGAGTCACATTCAATGGGTGTTTCACAAACAATGGGTGTTTCAATTAGTGTCTCAGCCTGTACAAACCACTGACATACAATGGGTTAAGGACATGCTAGAGTGAATCATCCATCTAAGATGGAAATAACTCAAAAACAGCAGAATATTCTCCTGATCTCTCTTGAAACTCTCCCTGTGTTCATCTGATAAAAATCTTTCCCCCTGCCCTTTCATTCCTTTCCCCCAGAGTCTGCTATTTAATTAATTATTTTCAAAATTTCAGAATACTATGGGGGTATAATTGTTTTGGGTTGTTTTTTATTTTTTCCATTTTAACAGGTAGGAAGAAGTAAAGAATGTTAACATGCAAACACAGGCGAAATTATAAATTCTATGTCAAGAAGTTAATGCAATTTTCTTTTATGACATGTATTCTCTATCCAACATGGAAGATAAGAGTTAATTGAGGAAAGTCTAAAATCCTTGTTGTGAATTATGGAAGAGAGCTTGAATTTAAAAAATGTTTTTAGGTGAGCAGATCCATTTGAGGGTATAATTGAAATGGACAGCAACGGATTCATTGTAACACTAACCTATACCTTCGCCTAGGTATAGATAAAGATGTATGATTTGGTCAAAAGCTTTACAGGCCAGAGAAAGGAAGGGCAAGGGGACAGAAGAGCTTAGGATAATCATTAGAGTGTGTTTGAAAATCTCTAATATTTCATAGTAATCGTTTAATTAATAATTTATATTATGAATTATCAATTCATAATAAACTTAGTATTTCATATTAAGGGACATAAGCTAAGTTACAAATGAAAGGAAGTAAAAACAAGGAGAATCTGATGAAGTGAGAAAATAGTTGTCAGTATATTGAAGGTTCCAATGAAAGAAAAGAACTTTTGTCTTTGTCATATAACTTGGAAAGAATTGAGAATCAGTGTAATCAGAGAGCTGGATAATAGACATTTAGGAAGTTCTCTGTAAGGTGACAATGTACTGAAACCATGGGTATGTGTAGGGCATCACTTAAATGTAGATCTCCATACACTAAAGATCAGAATGTGATACAGGTGTTCTCATGAAGTAGTGGAGAAAACTCAAGTTTTAACTTCCCAAGCATGTAGTGGAGTATAATATCTACATGTTGACCGAGGCACAGGGATTAGAGATTAATATGTCATCAGCACAGAAGACTGTGATGGGCTTGGGGCAGCAGAGAAAGAGAGTAAGAAGTGCTTGTAAATGGACTGTACCAAAGATGTTCAAACCACTCATAAGAGAGGATGGGCATAGCAGCTAACTGGAGAGTATAGAAAGAGGACAGAGTAGGAGAAATATTCAAAAATGAAGAACAAGATGGGGGAAAAAAGATAAAATAAAAAAATGTAGAAATGCAATATACATATATATGTATATATATAAATAAGTATTAATATAGGTGCATATACATAAACTGAAGTATGAACATAGAATAGAAAGTAGTTATGTAAGAATTAAACTTTCAAACAAATAATTATTCAAATAATTCAAATTATTCAAATTATTATTCAAATAATTATTTGAAATGAGCACTTCTACTGCAAAGACTGTTTACTATATTTCTCCTTCTCTAGTATGAAGCACAGAGCCACCCCCTAAATACATTAAACAGGTATTGTTAGATGAATTTAATGCTCCTAATCAAAAGCAAAATATAAAATATTTAGTATCTAGATGATATAAAGAAGTCACGAAAAGAAGAAAGACTGCACTATTTCTACCTCTATAACTCCTATTGAGTACTGATTGGCATTTTTAATATGTATCAAGCAGTGTTCTCTAACTTTTTACTCTTTTGACCAGAATAGGGTTAAGGTAAACATAGGTATGAATTGTTTTCCATTCCTTTCTTCCAATAAATAATCTTTTAGTTTAACTAGCTGTCAAATGTTTCATAAATATAAATATATGACATATATGCATATTATATAGTTCATATACTGATATATTAACATATTGTTTAATATATGAATTATATAGTATATGAATATGTTGATTGCAGTTATTATGCTTGCTGTATTTCATATGAACTATTTTTATATTTTTTTGGAAACACATCATAAATACACATCATAAGCACACTTTGTAAATTTCATAAACATGTATATACATGTACACACATAGACATCTTCCTGCCTTTTCTCACCGTATCTTGCTAAAGCCCAGTTTAAAGGTGCCAAAATGGGTAAATGTATTCCAATACAGATATAAGCCTGTATGTGACACGAAAGTAGTTGATACAATAATGTCAAAAATAGAGCTATGAAACCTAAAATAGCCTTGATCTAGTGGGAATAGTGAAAAGAGTGTGGAATAAATTTTTAAAAATGGCTGGTCCTGGTGGCTCATACCTGTCATCCCAGCACTTTGGGAGGCTGAGGCAGGAGGACCACTTGAGGCCAGGAGCTTGAGGCCAGCCTGGGCAACAGGGTGACACCCCAGTCTCTACAAATTTTTTTAAAAAAAATTATCTGGGCATGGTGGCATGCACCTGTAGTCTTAGCTACTAGGGAGACTGAGACAGGAGGATCACTTGAGCCCAGTAGTTTGAGGTTCAGTGAACAGTGAGCACACCACTGAACTCCAGCCTGGGTGACACAGCCAGATCCTGACTCAAAGGGAAAAAAAAGCAAAGAAGCCACACATTTTTTTAAGATTCTTTTTTTTTTTTTTTTTGAGGCAGAGTCTCACTTCATTGCTCTGGGTAGAGTGCTGTGGCATCAGCCAAGCTCACAGCAACCTCAAACTCCTGGGCTCAAGCCATCCTCCTGCCTCAGCCTCCCACGTAGCTGGGACTACAGGCGTGAGCCACCATGCCCAGCTAATTTTTTCTATTTTTAGTAGAGACGGGGTCTCACTCTTGCTCAGGCTGGTTCAAATTCCTGACCTCAAGCAATCCTTCTGCCTTGGCTTCCCAGAGTGCTAGGATTACAGGTGTGAGCCACCACGCCCAGTCAATTAAGATTGAAGTACTATGTCTAAGAGCAGCTCCCATTTTGAAATAGTAGGAGTAGCCAGGAAGGGTCTGATCTTTCTTTTTTGTGTGTATAGATTTATGGGTTTATGTTTGCATTTATGCTTGTGTGTGTGTATGTGTGTTGAGGTCCAGACAAAGACACTGATTAAAACATATGGTGGAAGACATAAGGAATTACTCAGGTTCTCAAGAGAAGCCATAACATATGAAAGTTGATAAAAGACAAAATTTTGCAAAACAATTATCCCAAAATATTCTTTCTCCTCCTTCCTAAGCCCATCTCTTATATGAAAGAGTCTATGATCATCACATAGATGGTCACGAGGGAGCTATACTTAACTGATAAATTTGGTCATATAAATCGATATGGATGGGTGGATATCCAGACAGACAAGTATCACTGTCTATTTCGAGTTTCTTGAGCCAATGATTTAAATGAATATTGATTTGGTATATGACAGTGTATTTTAAAATCTTACCTTCAATTTCTGCCCTCTGTTGATTATATCTGCTATTAATGAATGGAAGAGCAAATAAAAGTGATCCAAATCCTAATAAAAAGGAGGAAACTACAATCCACTTTATTTTGCTATCCCGTTCTCCATAGTATGCTATAAATATTGCTACCAGGCCAGACGAAACATCATAACTGAATGCCAATGCAAAATTTTCAATGGGTTTCAGATTATAGTCCTTTTGGAAATTGGTAATGCTCAGGTCTACAAGACCAAACGCAACACCTAAAATGTAAAAAGGAAAAAAGAAAGCAATAATATATATTTTAAGAGACAAAGTATATTGCCATTATAATTATCACAAAGCAAAACTGAATTTACACAGATTTAAATTTATTTTACATTATTCTGAATGTTTAAAACTTATAAGCATATAAAGATTTCTTTTCTAAAACACTAATAGGCCTTGACCTCTATGAAATAATTGCTAATTGAATTTTTGAAGCTATTTAACTACCTCTATGAGTAATTTCCTGAAAAATACTAATTATTATACCATCTCATTTAGTACTGATCTTTATTTTAATGTATTACATTTCAATTATAAAAAATTAGTAAGCATTAATATAATGGCTGTTTAACCTCCAAAAGAGGAAATAAAATATTATCAAAATAGTTGAAGCCTAATGCATACTCCCCCCAAAATAAATTGATATAAGGATTGGTTATAAAAGTAGTACATTTGTTGGAGTGAAAAGGGAAAATGGTTACAAATCAAAACTCATAATATCTATACAACCAAAGTTGCTGGAGCATGGGCCGCTTTACTACTGCTGCTGCTGCCGCTGTTAGAATTGCAATCACTACCTCTTTTTGCAGGAAGCCAGGAGCCCATACTCTTCCTAATACTATGAGAGGCAGCTCACAGCCACCTGCTGCTCCTCCTACTCTTGCAGTTGCCAGAGCCAGAGCCCATGAACACTGTACTGCTGATGGAACCACATTTACTCCTGAGCATAAACCCAGGAGCCTTCAATGACCCAGCATTGCTCCTGCTGCCCAAAACACCACTAGAAACAGAGAAGGGAAAAATAGAAGTTTCCCTTTGCCCCTTTTCAAATCTACTGCCAGTCTCCCACTGGCAATACCTAAGTGGAAGCCCACTGGCAAGGAACTCTGGGAAATGTAGTTTACAGGCTGCCAGTCCGCTGGCATATAGTGAGCAGTGGAGTCGATGGCCAACAGATAACTCGCAGAGGTCACCCTTTGACTATTTAGTATACATTTTCACCCTTCTTCCTATACTTAAACTTCCATAAAAAATAAATAGCAACATCATCATGCTTAACATATTGCAATTAGTATTCTTACAAAGATGCTCTCACTTTTTCCCAAAAAAGAGAGACATGTAGTCCAATCAATCACCGTATCTTTCTCAGGGTGAAGTTAATCCTTCTAATTTCGTCATAAACCTGAATGGATTTTCCTTAACCTAAAAACTAAATTGCAAAGGCAACCACCAATAATTAAGCAAACATACCACAGGCCTAATTAAATTTGTGAGGGAATTGTATTGCCAAAGAAACCAGAAGCCAGACTTGGAGCCACAACTAGTTTAACAGACCAATACCAAATTTTGCTGCACTCAAGAGAAGAATTTTCTTTAACTCTCACTTTAGATGTTACCAAGGAGGATAGTGGTCAAAGAAGGAAATATGTACTGTCAGTAACTGGGTCCATCTCTAGGGTGGAGGTATTAATTCTCCTTCTAAATGAGGCATAGTTTATAATCTAGAGTAAATTTATCTACTTTATATAAACTATTGATATAAAAATAAAATAGGAAGGGAAAGAGGAAGGGAAAAAATACAGAACTGGAATATATACATATACAAACATATACACACATAAATGTATATATAATATGTTTGTCTTTGTACACATAAAACCAACAAGATAAAATGCACAGCTGCTACAATTTTCATTTCTCTAAATGGTTATGAGACCACAATTGATATTTAAACTCCTTCTACTATTCACCCTCTTTTTTACCACTTGATCCCAGATAATATGTATAGGTTGCTATTTTGAAGCATATATCTCATCCTATACAACAGTACCCAAAACTTGTTGATTGTTGTCTCCTAGCTGGAGTCTTATCTGAGTCTTTGATAAGACATTATAATTATCTCTAATGCCAAGAGTTTCTGGTTACTGAGATATGTAGTAAGATCAGTGAATTCCATGAACATGAACCTCTTGCTGTATTTCTTTTGCTGTAAAATGAATTTCTTAATTAGAAGCAATATGAGGGTAAATATGATCACAGTGGTACACAAGGCATTCATTAAGTCCAATTATGGTAGTTCTGGAAGAACCATGGTGACAAAAGAAGAACCCATATTCAAAATATATATCAATTCAATGAGGATAAATTATTGCCCATTTCATAGTAGAAGCATAAACACATAATCAACCTGTCCAAGTAGCTTGCTGGTTTCACTGAAGAATGGAGCCATTTCTTAGACTACATTTACTTTTCCTGGTAGCAAGTCAGGCACTAACCACTGCAATAGCCAGATCAGTTCTGGTGAAGGTAAAGCCATTCATTCAGCTCTTGTATAATCTCCTTCCTTGATGCAGTTGTCATTCTAAACAAAAGCCCATTGAACAAGATATAGAATGGCCAGGAAAAGAGGCTGGCTAATAGTCACAGGATATTTATCTACCTACCTCATTATTGAAAGCCTCCTGTGCAAGGGATTTCTTTCGGTGAACATTCACATAGAATAACTCTGTTCATTTAGAGAGACACACCACTTACCCAGCCTTTCAAGTCACCACATGGTCAAATCACTAGGCAATGGCTACCATATGGTATCCAGGCAATATGGGAAATCAGAGGCACTGCTCAATGATCTGTCCATTCAGAGGATTTCCTTTTTCCTCTAAATTTCAGGGTGTCCCCTGAGTGAGGCTACAATGCTACCATAGCACACTCCCACCTTCAAAAAACTACAGAGGCTCACCAAAAACTCTGTCTCTTTCTTAGCAATGGGTGTACAAATGAACAGTCCTTCATTTTAGAAGAGAGAGCCCTGCGTATTACACACCAATTGGTCTCTAGAAACACAACTGAAGTGGCAAGGTAATTTTTGATATATAAGATATTTTCTCCCAAGATAGACTTTATGGGAGTCATCCTGGGAGGCCCAGGTCTGATTCTAGTAATGAGTCTGGCAGCAGTAAGAGGTGGTGCCATGAGTCATGAGGGGAGTCAGCATTCTCTTAACTTGGGCAAAGTCAATTCAGTGTCTTCAAGCAAGGGGTTGACTTCTCTTCAGATATAGGAGGAATAGTTGTTCCTACTGGAAAAAGGAGGTATGAGATTTGGCGATTCATGGTTCTCAGGTTCACTGAATTCCACACTGATGCCTTTATCCTAATTCTCAGAGCTCTACTCTTCTCCAATCAATATCCCAATTCCCAAATAAGTGATGTGATGAGTCTGTGAATTCAGCTTACATTATAATTCTGAAACCTGTGAATAAGGGTTGGTATTGCCCCAAATAAACTATATGTGGCTAAAAATGATAAAGAGTTTCTCAGGCCAGGCACAGTGGCTCATGCCTGTAATCCTAGCACTCTGGGAGGCCAAGGAGGGAGGATTGCTTAAGGTCAGGAGTTCTAAACCAGCCTGAGCAAGACCCCGGTCTCTACCAGAAATAGAAAGAAATTAATTGGCCAACTAAAAAAAATAAAAAAAATTAGCCAACATGGTGGCACATGCCTGTAGTCCCAGCTACTCGGGAGGCTGCGGCAGAATGATTGCTTGAGCCCAGGAGTTTGAGGTTGCTGTGAGCTAGGCTGATGCTACGGCACTCTAGCCCAGGCAACAGAGTGAGATTCTGTCTCAAAAAAAAGAAGAGTTTCTCATAAAGCCATTAGAGAGGCTTACAGATTTTCTAACCACACCCTAAACTTCTCATTTTCTTTGTGTAAACATTCCAGTGTGGTCAAAAGCAGTCAGGCAACCCCAGAATTTTTGTATTCAGAATTCCACCATAGAAGTCAATCACAGCAGCTATTTGGTTTCCCAAAGTCTTGCCTTCAATAACAACTTCATTCTAGGTAATATTTTAAATAACTTCTTTGTCATTACATGCCGTGGACTTCCAGTGAACCATTTTCAATAGGCACAAATATTACCATTTACATTATTTTCAAGCCAAATCAGGTCAGATAACCAATTCTACATGCTCACCTTTGAGAGTTTGTTTTGTTTTGTTTTTCCTTGTTTAATACCTAGTAAGGAATACTATATCAAACATCACATAAATTTCACAACTTATAGACAAATTACTTTTATTACATGGGCAAAGCTAAAAAGTTTATTCCAAAACTTTTCAAACTTTTTAATATTATCTCTCAGAACATTTTTAAAAATAAGAGAGTGATTATTCTTAATTCACACTTGACTATTTTAACGAGTTTCTTAGCCATACTTATCGCTAATAAAATATGATTTATATTTTTTATGAAAAATTTATTTTAATATTTTATTTCTAATAGTTTTTATAAAATTATCGACAACTCATCAAAGTTGCTTTTTATAGCTTTATGGTAAAACATTAACTCAGCAGGCCTGGGTTGCTTAGTTAAGACAGGCCTACCTTCAGGACTGGCCCTTGACTGGCTCCTAGGAGATGATGAACTCTGAGCCTATGGAATACACTGCACTCTAAAAGCACTGCTATATGGGTGATGCCTCAGGCCAGATCATACCAATTTGATCACATAGTTTATGCTAACAATGTGATTTATAGTGAACACCTTTTTCATTGTGGTGTGTGAGTGTAAAGTCTGAATAGCTGTGGGTAGACAGGTGCTGGATGCCTACATTACTGACACCTAAAAATCTCTGAACATCAAGGCATAGTTAGACTTACTTCATTAACTTCTTTTGCATGTGTTTCTTTGCACTCGCACATTATTGCTGAAAGAATTAGTATGTCTATGTGACTCCACTGAGAGAGGACACACGGCAGCTTGTGCTTGTTTTTTTCTAGACTTCAATCCCATGTGCCTCTTCCCTTTGCTGATTCTAATCTGTATCCTTTCACTATAATAAACCATAACCAGGGTCTTTTTCTGAGGCCTGTGAAGTCTTTCTAGGGAATCACTGACCCTGCTCCCAACACAATAGTTAATAATTCTGAAGTTGTGAAAGTATCTAGCAGGCTCTAAAAAAGCACTGCTAAATAAAGGATGTTTTCAATTATATTTTTGTGTTAAAATATTTCAACCAAAATATTCCATTCAAAGATGCTTTCTTTGCCACATATTTTTAAACAACAAAACTCTTCAAATAAGTTGTCTCCATTTGTGATTATTTTGAATGGTTCACTAAATTTAGCTATGCAAAGTTGCAGGCCTACTTGAGTTTATTTAATGCTTATAAACATGTAAGTCTGTCTAATTAAGAATAAAAGCACTATCCAAAATTCTACCCCAAATAGAAATTTGTACACAGCATAATTAAAGAATTTCTAAAGTAAATCTCGTTTGCTACTCAAGCTCTCGTAGTTTAATTTGTTTAGTTCCTCTCTTAGTTTTAGAGGGATAAATTTTAATATCTTTCCATTTTTAAGCTTTGTTTTCAATAATTATAATTTAACAAAAGCTGCTAATATTTAAAAAGTATGGTGCCTCACTCATTAATTACTTTTATGAAAGATTTCCAACTGCTTTTAAATACAAATGCAATGCAAAGTCAGAGAACTTATTTATAAGACAGTTCACAACCATTAGAGGACTTTGAAGTAGATTTAGTTCAAAGATCCAACATTTGTAAAATCTATTATATCCAGGAGGCAAAAAAGGCAGTGTAGGCTATCAAGATTAAGTATTAATACATATAAATTTGACAATGAATAAATATCTGTAAATTTTTATGTAAAATACGATAGCTTGTTAGGATATAATTATGAATTATTTGTGTACCAATTCTAAGCACATTTCTGCTTCACAGCTTTCTTAGTCCCATAAAAGCATTGTCTTTACCATGATACTATACACCAAAATCTGTTACTATTATTGCCACAGAAATAATTTTATCTTCATAGATAAAAATTTAAAAATATAGCATTCACATTAATGTTAGATGTTTATCTTTAGCACAATGAGCTTCCAAAGATTTCCTTTAATGACATCAGAACCAAACCAAAATTGGAATTACTGGTTTTTTATTCGTAAACTGGCATTATTTAACAGTTTGAAAAATTATCCATCTGCTAATGGTGTCAATTCATTAAAAGCTATCACTTTAGTTTCATATGTGCATAGGAAAATTTGGAATTGAAAATGAGAATAATTCAATTAGAACTGTCATTGAATCTAAATGAAAAATTTGTATTTCACGAAATGTTTTTAATAAACCTTCTGCAGCCACATGTGTTAAATCACCTTCTTTATCCATAGTCTTCTCAAATAACTGTTAACTTCAGCATGTCTTTTGACATATCACTATGTACCTTTCATGAAAAGCAAATGTCAACAATGTGCAAGTTTCATCAACTTTCTTAAGAATTGCACATGCCAGTTTTGATGTCACTGTGTCAGAAGGGTTTATTGGAAAATAAAAAAGTATTACTCAAAAAATAAAATCATAAAATGATGGTGACATACACTATATAAGAATTGAAAACACCGTGGTAGCAAGCATGCTTAAACTATTTTCTATGCACTCTATGACCTTACTGTGCAGCCTCTATTTCCTACAGATACTTCAAGTACAACTAATCTATAATTTCTAATGCTTCCCACTGACACTACCAAAAGACAGCCTGCTGCCTTCATGCATCTTGCAGGTTGCAGCATGGGCCATGGCAAATCTGGCTAATATACCAAGTGGGTGACAGAACCAGCAGCATCAAACACTTGTCCAACCACCCAATACTGGAAAGAGTTCATTTTAGATACTTGATCCATGATTACTTCATTTATCAGGGAATGCTTGTCACACCGTCCCTGCAAGGAAAATTTCATTAACACTAGACTATGTGGACAGGTTATAGAAAGAAACAAGGGTTATTGCTGGCTGTCTTTAGATTTAACTGTATGTCAAAGTAAGAACTCTCTTCGCCACACATATTTACCTACTATATACCAAGACCAGGGCAGAATCTAGCAGTACAAAGTTGAGGTCAATCCCAGGTTATTTAAATAAATTGTTAATAATGATACTTAACTAAAAAGAAAGAAGAGGAATTGTAATGGAAAAGTGGGACAACAGGAATAAACTAGAACTCTCCCAGGTAAACCAGAACATATAGTCAACCTCTTTAATAATTAATATTAAAATAAATTTCCCTACAACAAGATAATTAATTAAATAAAGCAAGAAAGAATGTCATGATGATAAAGAGTACAGTCCTAGTACAATAACTATGACTATATTAATTTAAATATCAAATAAAAGGATCAAATAAATGAAATAAGAAAATTAAAAAAAGAGAGAAGTAAACTAAAACAAAACTCAGTATTCTCCAACTGTTACAGATAGATCAAAAATCAGTAAAATCATAGAAAATGGCAATGTGCCTTCCTCCCAGATTTAACAAGTGTTAATGTTTTGCCAAATTTCCTGCATGACTTTCCAAATATTCTATTTTAAGAAGTAAAATGTTAATATTTACTTAAACAACACCTTTTGATATAGTTCTTCAATTTATTCATTATACTTCCAGTAATAGTAGACTAAGTAATTTAATTCACTTATCCTGCTGAGAACAACAAGAAAGTTAAGAAAATACTTTTATATTTGTTTGAAGGTATAACAAGAGCTAACTAAGCAATGAAAAAGTACCAGGATAAGATCCAGAAGGTGAAGAAATCTTAGAGAGGTAAGCCTTGCCTTACACAGACACTTGACTTAAGTCAATTAAATTTAAGCAACAATGTTGTCACTGCATCCCACAGATATCAATGCTTCATAACGTGTTTCCCCGAAAATAAGACCTACCCATAAAATAAGCCCTAGCAGGATTTCTAAGTATTTGCGCAATATAAGCACTACCCCAAAAATAAGACCTAGTGAGGGGCGTGGCTACACAATATCTGCACAACCCATGCATTTCGCCGAGAAGCGGTAAAGAAGAGGAGCAGCGCTTCTCATCTGCGCTTCTCATCTGCCCCATTGTGACAGTTACTATCCCAGAGGTGACTGGAAAGGTGCGGGCAGCCCCACCAACAAGGTCGGCTCCCCCTGTCAGGTCCCAGCCATCTGTGCGTGCTGCAAGCTGAGGCTTTGAGGGGAAAATAACACATCCCCTGAAAATAAACCGTAGGGTGTCTTCTTGAGGAAAAATAAATATAAGACCGTATCTTGTTTTCGGGGAAACACGGTAGTTTCACTGGCAATAAGATCATTACTGTCCTCAAATCCAATCAGATCAGAGAACAAATTCCAAATTTCACATCTTTAGGAATCATTTCCTCTGTTAAAAAATTCTATCAGTTTGAGTTCAATTAGAAAACAAGAGCCACTCTAAAAATTCAATAGAAAAAAATAATCCAATTTAAAATGGGCAAAAGACCTGAACAGACATTTCTCAAAAAAGACATATAAATGCCCAACAAGCATATGAAAAAAATGTTTAGCATCATTAATTATCAGGAAAATGCAAATCAAAACCACAATAAGATACCAACCAACTCCAGTTAGAATAGCTATTATCCAAAAAGACACAGATAACAAGTGTTAGCAAGGATGCATATTAAAGGACTTTTACACATTGCTGGCAGGAATGTAGATTATTAATAATATGGCCATTATGGAAAAATGTATACAGATTCCTCAAAAATTAAAAATAGAACTACCATATAATCTAGCAATCCCACTACTGGGTATATATATCCATAGGAAATGAAATCAGATGTCAAAGAGATAGTTGCATCCCCATGTTCACTGCAGAACTATTCACAATAGCCAAGACATGGAATCAACCTAAGTGTCCATCAACAAATCAATGGATAAAGAAAATGTGGTGTATATACACAATGAAATATTAATCATCCATAAAAAACTTAAATCCTGTTACTGCTTCATGGATGAACCTGGAGGACATCTTGTTAAGTAAAACAAGCCAGACATGGAAAAACAAATACTGCATGATCTCACTCATATGTGGAATCTAAAAAAGTTGATCTCATAGAAGTAAGAGTAGAACAGTGGTTACTGGAGTATGGAGATGGTGAGGAAGGGGTGAGGAGAGGTTGTAGAAGAAGACAAAGCTGTCAAAGAGAAATATTTAAAAAGTCCATCTTCATAGAGCTGGCAAAAAAGATGAATTTGGAGTTCAGACACAATAAACTAATATTGATATTGAGAGGCAATAATTTGACAAATTGATTCTGAAACAGTTTATGTAAGTACATAATCCTACACAAACTCTTTCAGAAAAGAGAACAGGAAGGAACACATCCCAATTAATTTAGTGAAGCCACTATTACCTGTTACTAAAGGTAGACAAGAAAACTACAGACCAATATCCCTTATGAATATAGATGCAAAAATTATTGACAAAATCCTAGCTAACTGAATTCAGGTGCTTATCAAGAAAATAATCCATCACAACCAAGTGGGCTTTATCCCAGAGATGCAGGGATGGTTCAACATATGCAAATCTATAAATGTAATTCACCACATAAACAGAAGCAAAAACAAAGACCATAAGATCCTCTCAAAAGACGCAGAAAAAAATTTGACAAAATTCAACACCCTTTTACGATAAGAACACTTAACAAAATAGGCATAAATGGGGCTTACCTAAAAATGATACAAGCCATATATGACAAACCCACAGCCAACATCATACTGAATGGTGAAAAATTGAAAGCATTCCCACTTAGAACTGGAACAAGGCAAGGTTGCCCACTATCTCCACTTCTATTCCACATAGTGCTGGAAGTCTTTGCTACAGCAATCAGACAATAGAGCAGAATTAAGGGCGTCCAAATGGGAGCAGAAGAGATCAAGCTCTCGCTCTTTGCTGATGATATGATATTATACCTAGAAAACCCCAAGGATTCAACCAAGAGACCCCTTGAATTGATAAATGAATTCAGTAAAGTCTCAGGATACAAAACCAATACACACAAATCAGAGGCATTCACATAAGCCAACAACAGTCAAAGTGAGAACCAATTCAAAGACCCAATTCCATTCAAAATAGCAACAAAGAAAATAAAGTACCTAGGAATATATTTAACTAAGGAGGTAAAAGACCTCTCAGGGAGAACTATGAAACTCTGAAGAAGGAAATAGCAGAGGACGTAAATAGATGGAAGACCATACCATGCTCGTGGGCCAGCAGAATCAACATTGCTAAAATGTCTATACTATCCCAACTGATCTACAGATTGAATGCAATCTCTATTAAAATATCATCATCATTTTTCACAGATATAGAAAAAATAATTTTACACTTCATATGGAACCAGAGAAGACCCTGTGTAGCAAAAGCAATTCTAGGCAATAAAAACAAAATGGGAGGTATCAATTTACCAGACTTCAAACTATACTACAAGGCTATAGTGATTAAAACAGCTATTCACTGGCACAAGAACAGGGACACTGACCAGTGGAATAGAACAGAGAAACCAGATATAAAACCATCCTCTTACAGCCAACTAATCTTTGACAAAGCAGACAAAAACATACACTGGGGAAAAGAATCCTTATTTCATAAATGGTGCTGGGAAAACTGGATAGCCACATGTAGAAGACTGAAACAGTGCCCACACCTTTCACTTCTCACAAAAATCAACTCATGCTGAGTAACAGACTTGAACCTTAGGTGTGAAACTATTAGAATTCTAGAGGAAAACGTTGGAAATACTCTTCTAGACATTGGCCTAGGCAAAGAATTTATGAAGAAGACCCCAAAGTCAATCACAGCAGCAACAAAAATAAATAAATGGGACATGAACAACTTAAAAAGCTTCTGCACAGCCAAAGAAACTGTCAAGAGAGCAAACAGACAACCCACAGAATAGGAGAAAATTTTCTCAAGCTATACATCTGATAAAGGGTTGATGACTAGAATCTATTTAGAACTCAGGAAAATCAGCAAGGAAAAATCAAACAACCCTATCAAAAAGTGGGCAAAGGACATGAACAGAAACTTTCCAAAAGAAGACAGAATAATGACCAACAAACATATGCAACAATGCTCAACATCTCTAATCATCAGGGAAATGCAAATCAACACCACAGTGAGATATCACTTATCTCCAGTGAGAATGGCCTTCATTAACAAGTCCCAAAACAATAAATGTTGGTGTGGATGTGGATAGATAGAAACACTCCCACTCAATGGGAGAAAATTTTCTCAAGCTATATATCTGATAAAGAGCTGATAACTGAAATCTTTTTAGAACTCAGGAAAATAAGCCAGAAAAAATCAAACAAACCCATCAAAAAATGGGCAAAAGACATGAACAGAAACTTTCCAAAAGAAGATAGAATAATGGCCAACAAACATATGAAAAAATACTCAACATCTTTAATCATTAGGGAAACGCAAATCAAAACCACAATGAGATATCACTTAACTCCAGTGAGAATAGCCTTTATCAAAAAGTCCCCAAACAATAAATGCTGGCGTGGATGCGGAGAGACAGGAACACTCCTGCATTGCTGGTGGGACTGCAAACTAGTTCAACCTCTGTGGAAAGCAATATGGAGATACCTTAAAGTGATACAAGTGGATCTACCATTTGATCTAGCAATCCCATTACTGGACATCTACCCAAAAGAACAAAAGACACTATAAAAAAGACACCTGCACTCGAATGTTGATAGCAGCACAATTCGCAATTGAAAAGTTGTGGAAACAACCCTAGTGCCCATCAGTACATGAGTGGGTTAATAAAATGTGGTATATGTATACCATGGAGTACTATTCAGCTATAAGAAACAACGGTGATATAGCACCTCTTGTATTTTCCTGGCTAGAACTGGAACCCATTCTATTAAGTGAAGTATCCCAAGAATGGAAAAATGAGCACCACATGTACTCACCAACAAATGGGTATTAACTGATCAACACCTAAGTGGACATATAGGAATAACATTTATCAGGTGTCAGGCAGGTGGGAAGGGAGGAGGGGATGGATATATACATACACAATGAGTGTGATGCGTACCATCTGGGGGATGGACATGCTTTAAGCTCTGACTTGAGGTGGGGGGGCAAGGGTAATATATGTAACCTTAACATTTGTACCCCTATAATATGCTAAAAAAAAACCCAATATTCCAAGAAAACTCTCAACAAATACTCTCATGGAAACAAAAATTCTTAACAAAATTTTGGGACATTTAATAAGGAATATATTTAACATGTTAATAATCCAGTAAAAAATGTTTATCCCAGGAATGTAAGGTTGGTAAAAAATCCAAAAATCAAAAAATTCAGTATATGATATTAATAGAATAAATTTTAGAAACTATATGATCATCTCAATAAATGCACTTGATAAACTTCAACATCAATTCATGATAAAAATTCTCTGCAAAATAAGAACAAAAGGGAACATCCATAAACTGATAAAGGGCACCTGGAAAAAAAGAAAAAAACTGCAATTAACATATTTAATTGTGAAAGGTTAAATACGTTCTATCTAAAAATCAGGAAAAAACAATGAACATCACTTTTTATAACTTATATTCATCACTGGTACTGGAGAACCTAGTCAGTGCAATGAAGCAAGAAAAAGTAATGAAAAGCATACAGTTAGAGCCAGGTGCAGTGGTGCTTACCTGTAGTCCCAGCTACTCCAGGGGCTGAGGCAGGAGGATCTTTTGAGCCCAGGAATTTGAGACCCGTTTGGGCAACATAATGATATACCATCTCAAAACAAAAGCATACATACTGGGAAGAAAAAAGTAAAACTGTCCTGATTGACAGATGATATGCTCATGTACTCATATGTAAAAAATCCTAAGGAATTTTCAATAAAATGGCTTCTATAACTAATAAATTAATTTAACAAAGATGCAGGATAGAAGACCTAAATAAAGAGATACATCATGTTCAGTCATCAGAACACTCAGTATTGATAAGACACGCAATTCTCTCAAAATTTATAGAATCAACCAAATCCCAATTAAAATTGAAGTAATCTTTCTATAAAAATTAACAAGTTGATTTTAAAATTTATATGTAAAAGCAAAGGATCTAAAATAGCCAAACCAACTTTTAAAAAGAACAAAGTAAAAAAGACACCTGATTTCAATACACATAATGAAGCTACAGTAACTAATGAAGTATAATATTTGCCTAAGTATAGACATATAAGATCAATAGAACAAAACTGAGACAGTAAAAATGGACCCAGAAAGAGACCAGAATTTCAACAAAAGTGCCAAGGTAATTCAGCATATTAAAGGGGAGTGTTTTCCATAAACTATACTACAATAAAGGATTTTTTTTCTGTATGGAAAAAATGAAGCTTGGCCCTTTCCATATACAAAAACAATTCATTCAAAATGAATCAAAGACCTAAACATAACAGTTAAACCATATAATTTGTATAAGAAAACAAAGCACAAAATCTTCATAACCTTGAGTTAGGCAATAGTTTCATTGATAGGAACCAAAAATAATAAACTATAAAAGAAAATAATTAGTAAATTAGACTTCGTCAAGACTGAACCCTTTTTTCATCAAAAAGATACAGAAAAGAAAATGAAATGGCAAGCCAACCAATTGGGAGAAAATATTTATAAACATTTAGCTAACAAAAAGCTTGTATTCAGAATATATAAAGAACACTTCACTAAATAATAAAACAACCCAATTTATAAAAGAGCACTTCATAAAAGAAGACATACAAATGATTAAAAACCATATAAATCTTAGCATATCCAGGGTAAAAGAAAAAAATAAAGAGTGTATAAAAAGATATTCAAGACAATTGGTCATTATGGAAATGAAAATTAAAGTCACAATGAGTGAGACACCATTACACACTCATTAGAATAGACAAAATTAAAAAGACTGACAATACCAACAATTAACATTGTGGAACAATCAAACTCTCATATGTTGTAGAATGGCAGGAATACAAATGGTGCAGCCACTTTCTAAAGAAATTTGGCTGTTTCTAATATGTACACTTCTAACAAACACTTACCATGTGACCCAGCAAGTCTACTCCTAGTTATCTACCCAAAAGAAGTGAAAACACATGTCCACATAAGATTTGCATGCAGTTCCTCAAGACAGTATCATTTATAATAGCCAAGAAAAATAGGAACAATCCAAATGTTCATCAACTACTGACTGGATAAAGTGTGGTGACTTCGTGCATGGGAATACTACTCGGCAATAAAAAAAAAAAAGAACAAACTATTAATACACACAACATGAATGAATCTCAAAAACATCATGCTATTAAAAGAAGCCAGACACAAAAGACCAGAAACTGTATGATTCCATACATATGAAATTCTAGAAAATATAAAACTCGAATGACAGAAAGATCAATTGTTGCCTAAGGCAGGAGAAGATAGGAGCGGGAACTGTTTGCAAGGGGGCATGAAGAAAGTTTTAATATGATGGAAAGTTTTTAAAACTTCATTGCATTGGTGATCTCATGTCTGTACATATTTACTAAAACTCATTGAATTGTGTACTTCAAAAGGGTAAATTTTATTATATGTTAATTATATCTAAATAAAGCAGAAGGAGAGAGGGAAGCATGGCCTGAGTGTGATCATAAGAAAACATCAAACAGACCCACGTTGAAGTTCAACCTACAGAATGAAAGACCCATCCTCCTGAAGACTTTCAAGGACATAAGAAACAGGGAAAGAATGGGGAAATGTTCCAGATTGAGGAAGACTTCTCAAATATGACCACAGACTGCAAACATATGCTCCTGTGTAGAATTCTGGGCCAAAAAGGAAAAGGAAACAATATTTGTGACAGTTCGCAACATCTGGATGGGGCCACCAATTCACAATTTGATGGTAGTATCGCACTAATATTGCTGACTGGGAGGAGTGTATGATGGTCATGTAGGAGAGTGTCTCACTATGGGAAAGTGTACACTGGAATTGTTAGCAGTAATGAGACATCATATCTGAAAAAATCTATATGCATAGGGAAAAAAGAGTGAAGAAACAAATGTAGTAAAATGCTAACAAATGGAGAATCCACATCAAAAGTAATCTCAAAATTATTTAAAATGTAACTAAACAAAATAAATAGATCAATCAATAAACAAAAAAGACACATACCATTTTTATGAATGGAAGACTCAATTCTATACCCAAATTGTGCTTAAAAACTTGTATGAAGTCAGTTAAGCTTAAACCATTCACTTTAACCCACTTGTTCAAAAACCTTCAATAGCTCCTCATTACCCACCTAGTAAGGAGATTATATTAAGTGAGATAATGCTTGTAAAGCACCTTACTTGTGACCTCTCACAGTAGAAAGTACATAGCTTTCAGTATTCTTCCAAAATTTTCAGTCTGGCATTTAATGGCCTTCAAAATCTAGGCACAATCTATCTTTTCCTTCTTGTCTATTCATTTATTCATTCAATACATATCTATTGAGTGACTTTTCTGCCTCAGTCACTATATTAGGTCCTTGGAAAACATAATGAATAATATAAATATAATGACCCCATTGTGGTGCTTAGATGAAACCATGATACAACCAAACTTGTCATGCACCATTCTGAAACAAGCCTTTCTAAAACAAAGCACTGACTCATTCATTCATTTTCTTATTCAATAGATACTCCTTAACTACATCCCTGGCTATCAGAACTGTACCTAACTATTAAGGCATGGTTCAAAGGCCTATTCCTCCAAAAAGCTTCTTAGATGATCTCAAGGCAAACTGATGACTACTTGTTCATCTCATATGGTTCTTATCACATACAGCCTTTTTATTGCACTTATTAGATATAACATTTCAGAGCAAAAAGAGATCAGGTTTGGTAAATTCCAATGTCTTCAGTGTAAAGAGGTTAGTGAAGAGTCTAAATAAATTGTACATAGATTCCTCAGAAAACTAAAAGCAGACCTACCATTTGATCCAGCAACCCCACTACTGAGGATTTACCCAAAGGAAAAAAAACGTTATTTTATCAAAAATACTCTGCACTAGAATGTTTGCTGCAGCACAATTCACAATCACAAAGATGTGGAATCAACCCAAGTACCCATCAATTCATGAGTAGATTAATAAAATATGGTCTTTGTACACTATGGAGTACTACTCAGCCATAAAAAATGAATTAATACCTTTTGCAACAACCTAGATGGAACTGGAGACCATCCTTCCAAGTGAAGTATCACAAGAATGAAAAAACAAATACCACATGTACTCACTCTTAAATTGTAACTAACCAATTAGCACTCCTGCACAGATGGACGTAAAACTCAATGGAAACAATGCAGGTGGCTGGGGGGGAAGACGATGGGTGAAATCATGCCTAACAGATACAATGTACACTATCTGAGTGTTGGGCATACTTATAACTTTGACTGAAGCAGTACAAAAGCAATCCACAGAACCAAAACATTTGTACTCTCATAATATTCTGAAATAAAAGAATAAAAATAAATAATAAAATCACAGTAGCAATGCTATGATTAAAATGGGAGGGGAAAAGAAGAAAAGATGCTTGACATCACTAATCGTCAGGACAGTGCAAATCAAAACCACAGTGAGATATCATCTCAAACTTTTTAGAATGACAATTATTTAAAAAAAAAAGTTAACAAGTGTTGTCGAGGACATAGAGAAAAGGGAACTCTTATACACTATTGGTGGGAATGTAAATTGGTAGAGCCATTAAGGAAAACAATATGGAGGTTCCTCAAAAAATCAAAAATAGAAGTATCATAGGATCCAGCAATCCTATTTCTGAAAATATATCCAAAGGTATTGAAATCAGGAAATCAAAGACATATTTGCACTCCCATGTTCATTGCAGCATTGTTTACAATAACCAAGATTTTCAGCCAAATCTAATTATCCATTAATGGATAATTGAATAAAGAAATTATGGTATATATTTTTTAAAACATAGATGTGAGAGCTATGGCCAAGTAGAGCACATAAGCCCAGTCTAAAGACCTTCAAATTCACATTGTTCTTCAAAATGTATGGGCAAAAATGAACACCCTTGAGTTTCAGTTCTCTACTGTAGATTATTTGAAGTCCCACCCCATCGCCTCAATTTGTAGATTAGGAAACAAGACCCAGTAGAAAGCCATTTAGACGGAGCATCTCAAAATCGTGGGCCGAGGCAGAAACAACTTAGCAATGGCAGTTTTCACCTTTACTTTAAGCTCTGAGTGATTCAACACAGAACTTCTCAGAGCTGGTGACCAAACAACACTAAACGATCCAACACCACCCTCCCTACCACCCACCATGCATAGGATGGACTGTGTCAGTCAGGGGTCGGAGGACCTGAGGTGTCTGCCCGTTAACATACCTGATTCCGATCATGCCTTGAGGATGTCAACGGATACAGCCTCACACTGCGCCACCCCAGGGCATCCTCCACTCCCTCCTCCTCCCTCTCCCGCTTCACTACTTCAGCAGCTGCTCTCCCCAGGACCACCCACGGTCCCTCAGGCTCACCTTGAGACAGGAGCAGGATGCAGTAGAAAACCATAAAGCAGCGAATGTTATTAAACATCTGAAAGCAGGGGATCACCACTAAGCCTATCCCACAGGGCTCCTCCAAACCGTCTTCCATTTTCCCTGCCCTCTTGAGCAAGGCTTTTTGGCTTTGGTGAAAACCGCCTAACTTTCTCAGGGCCTTTGGTAAGTTTGCCAGATACAGAGCCAACTCCTCGTCCATCTCATCCATCTCGGCCTTCTCCTGGGCCTTGTCTTTCTTGGCGTCCTCAGCAGGCTGCGAGGAGGCAGGCCCGGACTCCAGTTTCGCTGTGTTTTCCTGCACAGGCCCAGGGCGCCCTTCTGCGACTAGGGGCATGGCTCACCCCGGGCGGCCCCGGGCTACGGCCCGGGTGTGTTCCCAGGCCCTCCACGGCCAGCCCTGCCTGGGCCACCCCAAAACCCCTCTGGGCGCCGGAGAACTCTGGGGGGCCACAGTGGCTCCTGTGAGCCCAAACCTCCAGAGAACGTTTCTTCCTGGGCAGGAGGCAAACGTCCCCACAGGGGGTTGACAGTTGCCCCGGAAGAACTTCAAGGCTGTTTTCCTTCTTTGCTTCCACGCGGAGAAGGGAGGGTAAAAGCTGGCATTGAATTCTGATAACTGCTAACTCAGAGAGCACTGGGGGAACTCTCATGAGAGTCGCATTTAATGCTTACTAATTAGGAAGCAAGGAAAGGAAAATATGCCAAAGATACGAAAGTGGAATTGCCCCCTCCTCCCCCAGTTCCTCCAAACTTACTTCATTGCGGTGTCTTTCCAACTCCACAGTCTCACTAGAAATTATCTGAAAATTGTTGAAGGACCAGGAGACATTAGAAGACAAGTAAACAACATTTTCCACCATGACAAAGATTTGGAAGAACAACAGAAATCAGACAACAATGTCCCAATGAATGTCTTTACTTGAAGTGTTTTACACAAAGAAATTACTGTCCTAGAAACTTTATCCCCACCAAGAACAGGAAGGATTATTATTTTCCACTCTAAATGAGGGCATGAGACCTAGAGGATCATTTATTTTCACAGGTATAAAAATCCTACCGGAGAGAAAGGATGTAAGGAAATTGCAGTAGGATATGAAACTTGGGTGTTTTATACAAAAATGCAAATTCTTATTGGTTTTCTTTTCTTAGGCTGAAATATAAGCTATTTAGGCCATATATATGGAGAGTGTGACTTTCCAGGAGAGATTAAACTATTTTCTTTCCCATGGATTAGACAATAGATTGCCCAAAACAATTCAGCTGTACAAGTTTTTTTTTGTACCAGTTAGAAAGCACTGGCCTGGTAGACTAGGGGAAAAAACCCACTAAGAATCCCTGACCTCAAGCCTGAGCTTGACTCAACAGAGCTATATGCACTTGAATGAGCAGAAGTGTTATTTTTCCTATACCAAATGACCTGATTTGTGAAATGTACAGTCACCTCATAAGTAAGAGCAATGCCCTAGTTTTCCATATTCATTGTACTCAACGAGATGCCCTTCACATTGCTTACCAGTACCAGAATGGACACTGCCTGGGAACAAAGAGGGAAAGACAACTCTGTTAAAAAAATAAATAGTACTGGGAATTTTCCTTCTACTCAGAACATAGAGAGTCAAAGAAAATGTTACTACCCCTACTCTAACAGTAACAGCAAAAAAGCTGGATAATATTTTAAAAATACTTTTTTGAGCCCATCAGAGAGCTACATTTGCAAACCAACCAAATGAATTGATTCCAAAGGGTAAAAAGTCCCTCAGAAAAAAATGCGACACATAAACCACTTCACGTTTATGCATTTCAAAATGTGTAAAGAAAAAAGCTGATAGAACTAAAAGAAAGAGTGCAGAAGGAGGAAAGAATGATCATAAAAGAGGATAAAAACACTTGAAATTTTAATTAATTCTTAAAGGCCAAGTGAGAGCTAGCTTAACAGTTTAGAAAAAATGATATATATAAAATAGAAAAAATAAATATTTATTTACATTTAAATATAAAAGATTTAAAATATGGTTTAACATTTTTAAAAGATAACTTTAATAAAAGATTGTTTAAAGAGAAATAGTAATGATATATTATTTGGTTTGTAACTTTATAGAAGAAAAATGTATGATAATAATAATAATGTATGATAATACATTAATACATAATAATGTATGATAATAATAACATTAAAAATGAGAAGGAAGAGATGGTAGTATATTAGTGTAAGGTCCTTTTACTACATATGAGGTTGTATTAACAATATTTAAAGATGGATTCAATAAAATAAAGATATATATTATAAATGTTAGAACAGCCATCAAATAAATACATATATACAAACAGTTATACATATATATATATACCACAATATACATATATACACACATAAATATAAGGTATAGCTAGTAAGCCAATGATGGAGTTAAAATGGAATTCTAAAATATTCAACTAATTAATAATCTATTGATAATCAATAAATAAAGTAATCCACTTAATCATAATAAAAATTAATGGTAGATTTGAAAGCAATTTACATAATAATTTAAAAGTAGGCCAGGCATGGTGGCTCACGCCTGTAATCCTAGCTCTCTGGGAGGCCGAGGCGGGCGGATTGCTCGAGGTCAGGAGTTCGAAACCAGCCTGAGCAAGAGCGAGACCCCGTCTCTACTATAAATAAAAAGAAATTAATTGGCCAACTAATATATATATAAAAAATTAGCCGGGCCTGGTGGCAAATGCCTGTAGTCCCAGCTACTTGGGAGGGTGAGGCAGGAGGATTGCTTGAGCCCAGGAGTTTGAGGTTGCTGTGAGCTAGGCTGACGCCACGGCACTCACTCTAGCCTGAGCAACAAAGCGAGACTCTGTGTCAAAAAAAAAAAAAGGTAAATCACCTAAGCATTCCAATTAAAAAGCAGAGATTATCAGATGAATAAAAAGTAAGACCAAATTACCGGATATACATATGTACAAGAACGTCACTTTAAATGTAAAAACACAATAGATTAAAATTTTAAAAGTGGAAAAGATATGCTATACTAAGTCTAATAAAAAATTGGAATGGCTATGTTAATGTCAAACTGACTAGATTTCAGAGCAAACAATATTACCAGGGGTTATTGTTCATTTTATAACAATAAAGAGATCAATTCATCAAGAAGACATAAGAATCCAAAAAGCATGTTACTCTACTGGCATAGATTCAAAATGCATAAAGGAGAAACTGATAGAACTGAAAGTGAGTGTGCAATGGTATCTCACACTCACTCTTCAGGTTCTGACTGCTACCTTCTAACCAACTTTACTGTGACCTCCTTCATCCTGGCTGTATGTTCCAGCTATACTCAGCTCATCGTGACTCCTCAAAGACTTCACAACACCATTTCATTTTACATATCTTCATTAAAGCAAGCAACTTACTGTATTTGTATACTTGTATATACATATTGTATATACATTATTTCTTCACCAAACTTAAAGCACCTTGAAGTCACAGTGCTTAGACCTTTGAAGCATTTAATCAGAATGTAATTAATTCTCTAGTTTATTAATTAAAGAGTTAATGTTACATGATGTCTGAGAAGCCAATGGCTACAACTCATGGAAACTTCTAGTAATAGAGAAATTTTTAAAGGAGGATATTTGAGCATATTGTGAAGGGAGAAGATAAAAACAGAAAAATATTGTCCTTGGATTGATTTACCCGGGGAAAACTATACAGGGAACAAAAAAATTCTATCAATAGAGAATGTTTATAAGAATTATTTTTAGCTAGAAATGTTAGACTTCCTAGCTATGATTCTAGAAGTATCATTTTACCCTTTAATATCTGCAGATTCCTAGATTCTGAACTGCATTGCTTAATTTGGTAGTATTCATACCTAATTAAGAACTGACACAGATTATCTCTCTTCCTCTATTTCTAGTTTGTTCCTTATTGACCTTTTACTTGATTCCAAGGTCCTTTGAGTAATCCTTTATACAAAGAAACAGCTATGTGGGCATGTAGTCACATTTTAAATACCTAATAATGTTTAAAATATTCAGGAAGGAGAAAACGATTTGGCATCTTAAGAAAGTAAGTTTGACAATTGCTACTGGAAGTGGAAGGTGGCAGTCATAAAAGAATAGGTCCTTTTCATTGTAAGAAATAGCACAGATAGAAGGTAATAGCAACCACACCTGTAGAGCTGTTTAGTAACATAACTGCATCCTGATGGGAAAATGAGGTCCTAGGGGACATTTGGCTTTTTGTGATGGTTGTTCTGATTGCAAAACAAACAAAGTTCAAAGGACTTTATCAAAAAGAAGTAATAAATGGTCCCTCATCAGCTTCTTTTTAATTTTAGGCAGACAAGCTGAACACAGTCTATTCTTTACTGACCATCTATGACGCTTCCTTCATCACCTTCTGCCTTTGTTTTCCTCTGGGTTAAAAAATTATGTAGCATTTTATTTATCTAGCAGGTAGTCTTCTATTCTCAGTAAACTAAAGAAACTTATAGAAAGCCAAGAAATAAAATAAAAAGCCAGTCATCATTGAGAAAAGTAGTACTTATAGCACCCACATATTTAATATCACTTTTAGCACAGAACCTGTAAATCTTAATTTTGTGTAGAATACGTAGTAAGTTTCACTACATAATTATAGAAGGCACATATTAGAAACTGTAGCAAAAATTCATTACTCTCAATCAGAAAAGAAGCAAAAATCATTTACCAGAGAAGCTAAGTAAATGAGGACCATTTACTAAGAAAGAAAACAGTTCTATATCCCTTAATAGTTGAGGTTATCTATTGTACTAAGCCACATTACAGTAATTTGCACCATCATGTAGTTTATCTACTTTACCAACTTATTAACTAAAAGACTTGTATGAATTACCATCAATATGTTACTTTAGTGGGCTCTTCTTACATCTTTAGAGGTTATAGCTGAAATAGATATTACATGGAGGATGTATAACAGCACCTCATAAACATTCATTGCATTGTTTAATTCAAGCTCTTTTCTTGAAATATCTGTAGCTCTTGGATTGCTGAACTCATCAGGAACTGCTTTAGTTGCTAACTATATTTCAATGCCAATGTTGAACTTTTATGCAATGGTCACTTATTAACTCCTAGGAAACATGCAAAATGATATCACTATGCATACTTTTCTAGATTCAAAGGCAATTTTTTCATGTACAGTATTTCCAAAATTGGGATATGTTTAGTAAGTCTTATTTATATTTTCTATGAAAAGATTTTTAAAATCAGTGATCTATCAGGAGAATATATATGAAAATGTTAATTTAAGTATGGTCACAAGAAAAATTGGAAACAACCATAGCCATCAATATAGGAATGATTAAATAAATTATAGTAAATCCATACCATGGAATTCTACCATACATTATGCTGTCCTTTGAAGATAGCCAGCATGGATTGTGATTTTTATTAAAGTTAAAAGAGCAAGGCAAATACCCACTATTTCTTTTTAAATACTTAGACTGCAATTCTTGTAGCTGGATGACCAAAATGGGTGTTTCTATGTGGGAATGAGGGCTGAAACCTTAT